CTCCCATGTAGCTGGAGTTTATTTTTTTATTTTTAGTAAAGACAGGATTTCGCCACATTGGCCAGGCTGGTCTCGAACTGCTGACCTCAGATGATCTGCCCACCTCAGCCTCCAAAAGTGCTGGGATTACATGTTTGAGCCACCATGCCATGCCCATATTCAGATTTTTTTTTTTTTTCAGTTTTTTGGCCCTAGATAAATCACACAAACTTGTTGAGCTTCAGAGTATTTACCTGCAAAACAAGAATAATAGCTACCTTACAGGGTGTTGTAAGGCTAAGAATTCTATGTAAAATACTCACAGTGTACCTGACAAATGCTAGGAGAGATTATTAATTTGTAGCTTTATCTTATCTCTGTTCCATCAAATCTAATTTCCTCCAGTTCCAATGTTTTTAATAAAAATCATCGCTGCATTCTGGTATTTTATTGTTTCATTTTATTAGAAGTATTGGAGGACATTTATTTTTCCTAATTTTATTGTAAAATAAGATTTGAAAATTATGCTATGAATTAAACAGGATTGTGTAGGCTGGTCTGGGAGACAAACTGACATTTTCAATATCACATATATATGAAAACTTGTTTAAGATTGCAAACAATTGACTCCAAATAAATTATCAGATAGGACTACTTTATTTGAGAATTTGCTATAAATTGACTGATGTTAACTGTTTATAAATGTACCTTAAGAAGGAAAGTGCTGCATAAGACAATTTTCATGAAATAAGGCCGACATTTGGCTTACTTGAACTTACAAAAATAATGAAGAAACGGAGAAAGAACAAGGAGTGAAAGGAATATGAATAGAGAGAATAAAAAAAGAAGAAACCCATTAGTTTCCAAAGCAGTCTTTGCAGACGACCTAATGGAAGTATGAATTATTCCAAAACTTCGAATTTTTCATCTACATCTTAATTTACATCTTTTTAATAAAAATTATAATTAATTTTAGCAATACAATTGTGACTGGCACTCCCTATGTTACTTGACGTTCAATAAAAAACACTTTTTGCTGGAGAGGATGTAGAGAAATAGGAACACTTTTACATTGTTGATGGGAGTGTGAATTAGCTTAACCACTGTGGAAGACAGTGTGGCAATTCCTCAAGCATCTCGAACCAGAAATACCATTCGATCCAGCAATCCCATTACTGTGTATACACCCAAAGAATTATAAATCTTTCTACTCTAAAGACACATGTATATATATGTTTATTGCATCACTATTCACAATAGCAAAGATTTGGAACCAACCCAAATGACCATCAATGATAGACTGGATAAAGAAAATGTGGCACATATATGCCATGGAATACTATTCAGCCATAAAAAGAATGAGCTCATGAATGAAGCTGTAAACCATCATTCTCTGCAAAGTAGCACAGGAACAGAAAACCAAACACTGCATGTTCTCAATCATTAGTGGGAGCCGAACAATGAGAACATACAGGCACGGGGAGGGGATCATTACACACCAGGGTCTGTCAGCAGGTGGGAAGAAGGGGAGGGATAGCATTAGGAGAAATACCTAATGTAGATGACAGGTAATGTGTGCAGTAAACCACCATGTCACATGTATACCTATGTAACACACCTGCATTTTTCTGCACATGTATACCAGAACGTAAGTATGAAATAAGGAAGAATCACTTTTGATTTTGCAATTCAGTTTCTTTCATTAAAAGCTACTGAACAATAATTATATATCCTTAGAGGAATCAATAAAAATAATCTGTAGGTAAAATGTTAATGTATTATAAAATTTTTTACCTTCTGGTTCAACGTTGACATGGATAACAGCTTCCACTGACTTTTATTTGAACCTGTAAAAACAAAACAAGTATTACTTTGATTTAACAAAAGCTCATTTTAGTTAGCTTTGTTATCGAACTATTTTATTTTTTTCTTCAGTGTACAATCAGAATTGTATTTCCAAAGCCAAGTATATTGTATTTCCATAGCCAAGTATATTGAATACTTGAAGAAAATGTTATTATCAATTTACTTTCCTGTCATCATTTTAAACTGACATGTCTTACGTGACTCTTTGGAACAGTGGTTGATTATTTACTTATTTATTTATTATGCTTTAAGTTCTGAGATACATGTGCAGATCGTGTGGGTTTGTTACATAGGTATATACGTACCATGGTAGTGGTTTGTTGCATCCATCGCCCTGTCACCCACATTAGGTATTTCTCCTAATGCTATCCCTCCCCAATCCCCCATCCTCTGCTATTCCTCCTGTAGTCTCTCACCCCCCAGGCTCCAGTGTGTGATGTTCCCCTCCCTGTGTCCATATGTTCTTATTTTTCGATACTTACTTATGAGTGAGAACAAGCAGTGTTTGATTTTCTATTCTTGTGTTAGTTTGCTGAGAATGGTGGTTTCCAGTTTTGTCCATGTCCCTGCAAAGGTACATCTTTTTTATGGGGGCATAGTATTCCGTGGTGTATATGTGCCACATTTTCTTTATCCAATCTATCATTGATGGGCATTTGGGTTGGTTCCAAGTCTTTGCTATTCTGAACAGTGCCGCAATAAACATATGTGTTCATGCGTCTTTATAACAGAACCATTTATAATCCTTTGGGTATATACCCAGTAATGGGGTTTCTGGTTCAAATGGAATTTCTATTTCTAGATCCTTGAGGAATTGCCACACTGTCTTCCGCAATGGTTGAATTAATTTACATGCCCACCAACAGTGTAAAAGCATTCCTATTTCTCCACATCCTCTCCAGCATCTGTTGTGTCCTTATTTTTTAATGATCTCCATTCTAACTGGCACGAAATGGTATCTCAATGCGGTTTTGATTTGCATTTCTCTAATGACCAGTGATTATGATCTTTTTTTCATATGTTTGTTGGCTGCGTAAATGTCTTCTTTTGAAAAGTGTCTGTTCATATCCTTTGCCCCCTTTTTGATAGGGTTGTGCTTTTCTTGTAAATTTGTTTAAGAAACTATCAATAGAGTGAACTGGCAACCAACAGAATGGGAAAAAATTTTGCAATCTACCCATCAGACAAAGCACTAATATCCAGATTCTTTATTTTATCTAGGGTTGCATATGGTTGGGAAATTCCCATCTCACCTGGCAACATACACAATAAAGATTATATTTGATTCATTTCTATGTAATTAAAATAGGTAAACATGAAGTCATTTATTTAGCCTACGGAAGAGGTAGATTTTAAAATTAAGTAGTAAAAGTCTTATTACAAACATTTATATGTTTGAAGAAAAAAAAAACAGAGTCAGAAGATGAATAGAGGCTATCTTGGCTATCTTCTAAGTACTAAAAAAAAACTTATGCCAAGATAATCATCGTAGTATTATATCACTGAAGAATAAACTAACTGGACAATACGTTATATACATGTTTAGTTTAAGTAGGTATTGGCAAAGTTTTTCAAAATTGCTATACCAGTTTATTAAATCTAACTTCTCAACTTTTTTTTTAAGTAAATAGTATTTTCTGTGCCCGTTTAGAAAATATTGGCTGACCCAAAGGTCATGAAGATATTTTTTCATGTTTACTTTTAGAAATTGTATTATTTACCTCCCTATCTTTATTTTTATGACTCTTCTCAACTCAATTTTGTGTGGGGGGGTGAAATAAATATTGAGGCTCATTTTTGATATTGGTATCCATTGTATGCAGCACCATTATGTGAAGTATAATTTAAGATCTTCAGCCACAGTTCCATGACTTTTGACAAACTATATCCCTCTGGAACCAAAATGTAATCAAAATACAGAAAAGTTCCATCACCCCAGAAAGCTCCTTCCTGCTCCTCTCTAGTCAAAGTGCCTGCCCTCACCAAATGTAATGACAATCTAACCTTTGTAATCATAGATTAGTTTTGCTTGTTATTAAAGATGTTATAAATACAGTTATATGGTATGTATTATTCTTTATTTTTCTTGGTTACATATCTAGGAATAGAATTGTAACCTTGGATTATTTATTTAAAAATTATTCTTTCCTCACCAAATTGCAGTGGCAACTTGGTTGTAAAAAAGATGTGTATGTTTGTGGATCTATTTACGACCACTTTATTCTATTCCATTGGTTTATTTTTCTACTCTTATTTAAATATCACATGGTAGTAATTCATATAGCTCCATAGAAAGTCTTAATATATAGTAGTGTTTTTGTTCTTCAATATTGCTTTGACTAGGATAGTCTTCGCATTTCCTCATTAATTGTAGAATTTTCCTGTCAATTTTCACAAAAATCCTACTGGGACTTTGGTTGCATTTGCACTATCTTGCTCAAGTAAGAAAATTACAACATTGAGTCTCTAATTCTAGAACATTATATAGCTCTCCATTTATTTATCTCAGCAATGTTTTGAAGTTTTCAATATAAAGAACTTGCACAGCTTTTATTAGACTTATTAATTAAAGAAGAGTGTAGTGCCTTTCAGTGTTATTATAAATGGCATTTTAAAAATTTCATTATGTATTTGCTAGTCTATAAGAAATTCCACACATTTTTGTATATTGACCTTGATTCTAGCAAAATTACCAAAATTCACTATTAACATCAATAGTTTGCATATCATTCTGATTTTATATGTAGACAATTGTGTTAGCTGAAATTAATGACAACTTTGTCATTTTTTTATAACTTTGCTCTTTTTCCCCTTATTGCAATGACTAAAATATTCAGTTAAATGTTGAATAGAAGTTGCAATAGTGGACACCCTTCCCCTGCTCTGAAACTCATGGAGAAGATGTTGAATATTTTACTCTTAAGTATGATGTTAAAACTGCAGCTTTAAAAAATTGATAGCTTTTGTCAGATAAAAGGAATTTCCCTCTAGTTTGTTGAGATTTTTAAAAATAAGAATGGGTATTTGGTTTCATCAAGTGCATTTTACACATATATTGAGATTATTGTAATTTTTATCCTTTATTCTGTTAATTTGGTGAATTACATAGATCAATGATAGAATGTTAAATAAATTTTAAAGTTATTTCATTTGCAGAAAATTTTTCCTTAGGCACTAATATTTGAACCAAACTCTTTAGTAAAATACACTTTCAGTATGATGGAAAGTACTTATTTTATCATGTTAAATTTTAAATTGTATATATAATAGATTCATGTAATAGATACCTTGTTATCTCATGTACCTCAGTTTTGTCTATCAGGACACATACATAACACGTGTACTATTTCTTTTACTTTGTCTTTCCTGACTAAAAACTGGTCAGGAGGAATGACCTGGAACAGTCTTCAATACGAAGTAGGAGAAGGGAGCAGAGATGCCTGGTTCTTGGTGGCAGAGAGGAGTTGCCTGTCTAGTCCTCATAGGCTTATCCTTAAACTTTATGTTGTGTGTGATAAACCTCCTTCATAGTTGAGTTTATATTACATAAAGCCAAGCATAATTCTGCTTGAAAGAGGTTATATTTACATAAAAAAATTCAAACTGGGCATAGAGAATGTGATATAAATTACATTTTACAAAATTAACAAGGAGCTATTCCTGGTTTGCACAAGTATGGTTGATAATTTTTCCTCTGAATCTATTATAATTCAGAAATTAATGCCTCACCTGTCTCTTGGCCCAGCCATTTCACATATGCATGTCCTGACCATGCTTTATCCCAGACTGTTTTCATAAACTTATCATTTTCTGTCCTGGGAACCAAGAATAAACTGTTACACTCTTGGGGTAAACCTTTGACTAATGAGAGAAGGAAGCAAGTTTGCAAATTCCTCTGATGAATTGGCTTGAGACAAAGCCTCTGTAGATTCTTGGGGATACTGCTATGCAATCCAGCTCTCAGTTGTACTAGGGGTAGCTAACTAAATAATGCATTATCATTTTAACTCTCCCTGCTCTCCTGTTCACTTCCTTGTCCCTTACTCCTCTTCCTGGGATCACCTGCCATCTCGTATCCCATTAGAGTAGCATCAGTTAAGCCATCTCCTTCAGACTTTACTTTCTGGGAAAACAAAGCTAAGACAACGCATTTCTGTATTCCATGTTTGTAATCATTCACAGATATCACTATGTCATGTAATTGTCAGGAAAATCTATTTCTGCTAATGCTTTTCAAAAACATATTCATTATACAATTATTTTAAATTTTAACCATCTCTTCCCACCCTTTAAAGCAGTTGTGTTTATCCAGGAAAAAGAATCTCCTTATACTTTCTAAATCAGAAAATAAAAAATTTAAGACTATATAATCCTTTTACATTACTTCAGGAACTATTTGGCTTGTATCTACATTTTAAAAGCCAAGATACACCAGAAAATCTTGGGAGCCATCAAGCCTAGAAGTCTCAATTGATGAAACAACTTACTTGGTTAACTTGTAAGTTTAGATGTTTATCTTCCATTTCTTAATTTGTCAATTTTATATCAAATTTATGAAACAGTTTAAAATTGTTTAGTATTCATGACATCTAATGAATATATAATTTATCTTTTAAATAAAAATATGGTATATTTTGAGTTGTTCCAATTAAAATAAAAATATGAATAAACATTTCTGTTAACAAAGACGTATATTTTAAAAGCTCTTTTTAAGATAGAAGTCACATTGATACTTACTTCTAAACCTGAAAAAAATATGAAAAAATGCTTTAATCAATATCCTTCATATTGATTTGAAGGAGTGACCCTCAGTTACACAAGAGATTCTCAGATGGGCAATAACCAAAACATTAAATGATAGCAAATAATTTTTAAAAGCCAGGTTCAGGTATATAAGAGTCTTGATATAAATTACTATTCTGCCTCAAATTGATTTCTCAATTCTTCATGAGACCTTTATTGAATCTGAACATAATTTATG